GTGGTATATTTACACAATGGAGTTCTATTCAGCAGTAAAGAAAGATGAAATCATGAATTTGCAGGTAAATGGATGGATCTAAGAACTGTTATAGTAAGTGAAGTAACACAGACTTAGAAAAACAAAAGATGTATATTCTCCCTCATATGTATATCCTGTGCCAAATCCTTTTAAATTCCAGGTCCTTTTAATAAGATGATGCTATACAGCAGTCCCTTCTGAATGAAATAACTACCATCATCATGACTTCAGCGGAGCCTGATTGCTAAACATGGTGAAAACTGGACTTGTTGACAGTTGTGCTCATTCATTAAAGGAGGGCCAAGCAGGGTCATTGGACCCTCACAGCATTATCCAGCCACTCTTCCCAACTAACTCTATGTAATTTGACCCTAATCACACATCGCCTCTTGGATTTGGGGAGGGCTAAAGTATACAATCTGGGGAAGGCTAGGAAGAGAAGTCATGACCCATGCTGGGTAAAGGCTTTCCAGTGTGCATCCCCTCAGGTCATACATACACCTCAGCAACTCCTCAATTATCTTGGTAAGTAAGCTCAATAAATTCATTGGTTCCCCAGTAAAACTTTAATCAAACATTGGCTCAACACTAGAACCTTGAAAGGGAATAAGCATTGCTTAGCATCCCCAGGAAAACAAGTCTCACAACAGATGGAAAATGTATTTGTTAATTCTATTATGTCTCATAATTATTTTAAAAAAGAAGAAAGTGAGAATGTAAAAGATGTTAAAAGGATATGGGAATGGAGATATTTTCCAAAATAGACAAAAAATGAGAAAGCCTAAGCAAGTGATGAAGGTCTGTGTAGGTTTGTTATGATATATAAAGGATGAGACAAAAATAATATACACATAATCTTAAAATGTCTATGGTCATAGTTTAGTTAACTAGTTTAAGGAACAAAATATGTATCTAGTCAAAGTTTATCTGTGAATATTTGGTTTTTTACCCAAGTCTTATCTACATAGCACATAATAATTAAAAGTACCAGACTGATGGAACTAACCTTATTGGATGCTTAACAGTCATAGTTTGAGGCCTATACTAATGTGGTCAGAGGGACTTAAAGGACAGTTTTTGCCCCTTGCCCTCCAAAGTTGACTAAGTTCCAGGGGAGTATGGAACATCTCTCAAAATGTCCTATTAGTGTAGTGAGTTACCTGTCCTCTTGTTCAGGGAGCCATGGAAACCCCATGAGATAGACTTGAACCAGTTTCCAGTCTACAAAGAGGAGGGTGAACTCAGAGGAAACTTCTCATTCATGCTTCCAAATGAAGCCAGACATGATCGAGCAGGACCTTTGACTTACCTTCACATAGATGGAACTGATAAAAGAAAGGAGCCAGGGGCCCCTCCCAAGCCCATGTGACCCCTGAGGAACAGATCCTCAAATGACCTTAAGTGTAAAAATAAATTTATTTGGGCCAACTGTATGGTCTTAAACACCCAAAACGAAAGTACAACCAAAGAGTAAAGTCGTCAGTATATTTCTTTGAGTTCAAGGGATTACACTTCCCAGACATTAGGCTTAAGTCTATATAAAAAGTTATTCAGATAATTATTTCTCATTGATGATTTTGTTCCTAACCAGAAAGTGCTGTTCAGATGTAAGACTTCAAATCTTGGTCTCCAACACTGTAGTGCCCACTTTTAGCTAAGGGAGACAACCAGTTAGTTCTAAAATGATGGATAAATTTGTTTTCTCCCCTTATCTAGAAGTCTTTGAGATGGAATTGACACTGATTCTAACCACTCCAACAGCTATCAAAACACGTGAAAGCAAACCCTGAATTCATCACTCTAGAGTCCAGCCTTGGACGACCGAAGGAAAATGAGGAGGGACCCAATAGAGGGATGCTTTTGGAAGCCCTTGTCAAGAAATTCCAATGCACTCTCATATGAACATTTGAAAAGATTGCCCTGTTCTAACTTTTTTCTAGTTCCCTGTCTAGAACTTGTAATGCTAATTACTCTTGCCTTTATTTCTCCTTCACATCTCCCATTCATGATTCAAAGACTTTCTTTTCCTTCATGAGATAAGAGTTATGCAATTTGGGAGTCTTTTAGATAGACCCACTGAAGGGGTACTCCAGTTGCCTCACTCTGCGTCCCTGGTCAGCATGGAAGAAGCCAGAGCAGTCGGCGTCTCTATTCCCTCTTGGCATTTGCGTAACTTCTTCAGAGGATCGTCTGATAAGAATAGGAGGTAGGAATTGGCTAGGCAGTTAGGGTAAAAAGAGTTTCTTAAAGGTTAAAACTCACAATGTCCTTGGGCCTCTTAGCAACATATTCCATTCCAAAGGCCAAAAATGTCGAAAATATTTGGGAGCTTTTATCTAATCCTTAAAAGATTTTAGGGTTACCTCTTCAGAGGGGGAAATGGTAGAGTAGCCAAAAGCCCCATAAAAAAATAAAGAGTACATGAAGTTATCAGAATAAAAAAGTAATGGGAAGATGTGGGAGAGGTTGGAGCAGAGGGAGTGGCGTGGGCATGGATTTGGTCAAAACACCTTATATGCATGTAAGAAATTCTCAGTAAATTATTTTTTTTAATGTTCCTTGTTTGGCAGGGCGGGGGGCAGGAGAGACAAAAATCCTGCCTCCACAAAAGAAGTTTGTTAGTTGTGTCTGTCAGTGGTTTATAAACTTGAACCCACATCACTGTCACCTGGAAAGATCTCTTGGGGGTTTTGTTTGTTTGTTTGCAGTATTGGGCATAGAAACCAGGGCCTTGCACACAAGGCAAGCACTCTATGACAGGGCTACATCTCCAACTCTGGAGGCCCTCATGAGGCAGAAAGGACTAGCTGTACCCCTAGAGCTTTTGATGGGGTAGGAGTGGATACCTGTGGAGAATGTGCCTTTCTGACAAGTTAGGGTGATCCTGATGCTACTGGGCAGAGACCACATTCATACGCCACTTCTGTTGGCTTTTCTTTTCCAGTGAGATACTGGTAAAAATTGTATGTGTTGAATTGGAACCCAATCTGACATTTTTTTATTTACTTATTTTTTTCCTGTGTTGGGGATTAAAAACAGAACCTTCCACGTGTTGAGCAGGCACTGTACCTCTCCCCAGGTTCCTTGCCTGTGTTCTGACTTTTAGAAAAGCTATGATCTGAATCAGAACATTTCAGAGCAAAAATGGTGTGTGGTAAGACTTTGGTTTGCAGTCCCCATGCTGGCTGACGAGGATTAAGTCTACTGAGTTCAGCCCGTAATAACTAAGCTGTTGCAGCTGAAAATGATACCCTTTCCCCCTCCATTTTAATATTTCTGTGGTCAGTCACACGCTTTAATATTTGGACAAGAATTTAAAGTTAATGTGCAGTTTAACTTTTTAGGTAACAAATAATAGTGTGGAAGGCCATCTAATGTGGGAAATTCATAATGGCCCCATTAGCCGTCACATTCCACTTCAAACCTGAGTGAGAACTATTCCATAACACGGCATGTCTAGAACATGATTAGAGTTATTAAATTATTTTTCTTTTATTTAATAGTGCATGTGTATGTGTGTGTGTGAACACATGTGTGCCATGGCACGTGTGTGGAAGTCAGAGGACAACTTTCAGGAGTTGATTTTCTCCTTCCAACATGGGGATTCTAAGGATTGAATTCAGGTCATCAGGCTTATATAGGAAGCAATTTTACCCATTGAGGCATTTCACCAGCCTGATTAATTTTTATCTTGCCTATCTTATTAATGGGTTAGGGGAGCCAAAAGGATGCAGATGGGCATGTGTTGGGGGGGGGAGTGTCATTTTTCTGGGAAGAATGTTAACTGATAGAGATTTGTAGTAAGATTACTTACACAGACTGATGCAATATTTGGGTAGAGTTCTCTGTGAACTGGTTTAAGCACTTGTCCAGGAGTAGACTGATTTTTTACCAAAGGTATTAAATACCTTTACTCCTATGATTTTATTGGAATTTTGACCCTTAAGAATAAAGAAGCTGAATGTGGTGGTGCGCACCTTTAGTTCCAGCACTCTGGAGGCAGAAGCAGGTGGATCTCTGTGAGATCGAGGCCAGGCTGATCTACATAATGAGTTCCAAGCCAACTGTGGCTACAGGGAGACCCTGTCTCAAAAAGATAAATAAAATAAAATAATAATAAATGGATTCTGGGTGTGATGGCACTTGCCTTTAATCTCAGCACTCAGGAAGCAGAAGTAGGCTTATCTCTGTTTGAGGCCAACCTGGTCTACATAGTTAGTTCCCAGCCAGCCAGGGCTGTATAGAGAGACCCTGTCTCAAAAAGAAAGAAGTGGGGAGAGAGAAAAATAGAAATAAGCTAACCAGTTGAATTGTTCAAAGTCATCTTTTTTTTTCTCTCAGTTTTTTGAGACAGGGTCTCCCTATGTAGATCATGCTGGCCTTGATCTCACACCAAGATCTGCCTGCCTCTGTCTCCTGAATGCTGGGATCAAATGTGTGCACCACCGTACTTGGCTTACTGTTCAAACTCTTAAAGTAATGATAGGAACAAAATGCTTGTGACTCAGCACCTAGTATTTCAGATACTACCTTGATTTGTTAGTTATATTTCCTGTTTGGACTAACATACACACATACATATATGCAGAATCAAAAAGCAATCTTTCTTGGTAACAGTTTGATATGCTGCTTTTTACTTTTTTTTTTTGGTGTTTTTGAGACAGGGTCTCCCTATCGCCCCAGCTGGCCTGGAACTCACTCTGTAGACCAGGCTGGCCTCGAACTCCCAGAGATCCACCTGCCTCTGCCTCTCGAGTGCTGGGATTAGCTACTTTTTACTTTAAAGAAAAAATTGAATGCCCTTTTTGGAGGAGGGGAAGATATTAGTTGAATTTCAGGCACAGATGTCAACGCTGAAAGTGGTCCGTAGAGATCATTTGAACATTTGAACACATTTGATTTCAAATTCTAGTCTGCTTTGTCTTGAGGTGAGTAAGTGTGCTGTAGAAAATTAACTGAGTTATACTTTGCAATTTCAGAGATGCTGCCTACGGAAACTGCAGTTTCTATATTACACTTCTCGACTGCTTCCACGCAATGAAGAAGGTAAACAACTTGTAGAAGACGCGGCCTTCTACAGAGTTCTGTTCGAAGTTCTTTAAAAGATGTGCATGATGTTGAGAAAATGCTCCATTTCCCAGTTAACATTAACATGACCCCAACCAGTAAGGAGCTCATTCTGAATCACTGACTGCTTCTATGCACGAATACTGTAGGAAAGCCTCTTACAGACAGGAGACAGGCTGGGGTTGTCACTCGGCTCTTGCACACTTGCTTAGCATGTGGCTTCAATCCCCAGCACCACCACAACAAACAGGGCACAGTTAAGAGACAGTTAAGTAATTTGGTTCTAGATATAGCAAAATTTTGAGTGTATTAATTTAAAAGACAAAATAAAGTTGATTACTATCTTTTTCCAAGTTCTCTCTATGTATTTATAACACAGTAACTGTGGGATGGGGACTATAACTCAGTGATAGAGTACCGGCCTACCACATGCAAGACCCTGGGTCCAGTCCCCTGTACCAGTAACACATTAACTGTGAAACTCAGGCATTCAACTTCAAGCTCAACAGGAGAATTTTGGCAACCAAGTAGTTTGTTACAAGGTTTTATATAAAACTAAGGTGAGGGGGAGTCACAATTGCTTTATCAGAAATTTTCAAGGCTGGGAATGTAGCTTAAGGGCTCAGCCATGAAATAAAAGTCCCTCACCCCCAAACAGCCACCTGTTTTTTAAAAAAAACTCTGTGTTACTGCTGTGCATGCATGTGCATGTGTACATGTGCTTAGGGCATGCTTTATATCACATTCTTATTTTTTAAGTATTTTTATTATTTTATGTATATGTGTGTATTGCCTGCATGTAGGTAAGTGCACCCATGTCGTACAGTGCCCGCAGAGGACAGAAGAGGCTGTTGGATCCCCTGGAACTGGAGTTATGGACAGTTGTTAGCTGCCATGTGGGTGCTGCGATTTGAACCCGGGTCTTCTGCAAGAACATCCAGTGTTCTTAACCACTGAGTCATCTCTCCAGCCCCTGCCTTATATCACATTCTAAGTGATAAGGCCCCAGTGGACATTCAGTGAAACTGGCCCTGGATTTTATGGTACCCAATTGTGTAAATTACCTGAATGTCAGGGCATCACAGAAAACTACAATTGTTCCTCGGTAGTGCAAGGATCTAAGGAGCCTTCAGCAGTGGCTCAAGTTTTATGTGACTGTTTTCTCAGAGGCACAGGAACCCAGGTTTGCTTCCAATGTCATGAAAGAAACATAATGACTTTTGGAATTCTTCCTAGATCAAGCATTGTGGTATGGTACCTTGGTTTGTGGCAGTGCCACCTGTTCTTCTAGGCTCCATCAAGCCTGTTAGGGCAGGTGCTAGGCATAGGTGGCAATCAGGAGCCAGAAGGACAACAGGTAGGAATGGCAACTTCCCACTTGGGGGATGCCCCAGAGGAAGAGCTAATGTAAGTAACCACACTCCCCTTGAAACAGGGAGCAAAGCTTTAAGAGGCCCAGAAGATGTCCACAATAACCTTATACAACAGTTTCTATTACTTAATTTTTAAATTAAGTAATAGACTTAATTTTTAAAAATTCCAATCAAAGTTTACTTTTTTGCACAATACTTAGTTTTGTTCCAGATTCAACAGCTTCTGAAGTGTAAACACTCTTCATTTGGGACAGATTCTGAATATTGTTACATATGTGAGGTATTGTAAGTGATACTGTGCTTTCATGTAATGCTGTCTGCTTCCACTAGAACCGTCTTGTACATTCCAGGGATAGGAGTAGGAATTGCCTATAAACTACCTTTTTTGGTTTTGGTGCTGGGGATTGAATCCAGATCCTTGCACACGCTAAGCTTATGCTAGGCTGATGCCTGACAGCCCCAGTCCTCAGACTACGTCTCACTTCTTAGGAATACCTATAGCCCAGGTAGCTTCTGAAGTTTATGAAATGTATTAAAGTCAAGGAAAACAAACTTACATATTTGGTCTTGGAGTTAGTGCTTTGCAAGTAGTCTTCTAGTATCTTTGGCATTGTTTCCCACAGTTGGCAGCAGTCCTAAAACATTAAAGGGGCTGAGGAGGCAGCTCAGTGCTAGAACACTTCTAGCATGCTCAAGGATGACTTTTAATACTGTATATTGCTACCATTGTCCTATTTTCTTGTGAATCTCTTAATGTGTCTACTTTGTACATTAAACCCTATCATAGGTATTTATATGTAGGGGAGAACTGTAGTATGCACAGCTGGGTCCCACCTGTGATGTAAGCAATCCACTGGGGATCTTGGAATATAGTCCCAGCAGGTGAGGGGCAGGGCTCCTCTATAGTATTCTAGCCTTCTTACTTTATATTCATATTCTAGTCATTTGAGTCTGAAAACTGGGTTTATAAGAATCAAGCATTTTGAGCCACAATATGTTGTTGCTAAGAATTCTTGTTTCTCTCTGTCATACCCAGCTGTGGGTTTGCACAACTCAGAGGCCATTCAATCTCAGCTCATCCTTGCCTCAAAAACTAGATGCCCTGCCTGCAGCAGCTCAGAAAGAAGTTACAGGGCAGCCATTGATCTCTTAAGACTTAGGAAGAATTTGCAGGTGGCAGACTGTGAGAGAGTGAGGACTGTGTTTGGGAGGACACATCCCACAGTATCTTTTCCTGATTAGCTTCAATTTAAAGACACCAAGTTACATCTTATATTTGAATCTCAGGCCATGGTGTTGCCCATCCAAAATGTTAGTGAGAAGGGGTTATGGATAGATAGGATGACTAGGGAATGAAAATTTTATTTCATTCAATATTGTTCTAATTTCCAGGTCATGGAGGCAGTTGAGAGGCACAACCTCACTTCCTTTGGAAACTCTTCAACCTAAATAAAATAATACTTTTCTGAGACATCTTCTGATACTCATTAATAGAAAACTGAGTAGGAAATTGGCTCTTTTTTTGTATCTTTATTCTTAAAAGTTTTCTTTTGGATTCTAGGCAATGCAGTATGGCTTCTTTAATTTCAACACATTTAACCTTGATGAATATGAACACTATGAAGTAAGTTCAAGGTTAATGTCTTATGTCTCCCTCTCCGCACTTTACTGAATTGTAGTTGGCCAGTATCATCTGTATTTAATGTGTACAAAGTAATGTTTTTAATTAATTGTGTGAGTATGATGTGTGTGGGCATGCACGTATCACAGCACGTGGTGCATGTGTGCAGCTTAAGGATAACTTTGTAGAGCTGGTTCTCTCTACCTTTACGTGGGTCCGGGCATCGAACTCAGGTCATCAATGTGTGGCAAATGCTTTGCCATCTGGACAACCTCAAATAATGTTTTGATATACATATACCCTGTGAAATGCTTCCCAAGTCATGCTAATTAACATACATACACATTATGTCATCGCAGTATGAGTGCTGAGAAGACTTAAGATCAAATGTACATGTTTCCAGAGTGTCCTTATTGCTGGAAGCTTGTACTCTGACCAAAATTCCAACAGTTAACCACTCATTTTTTGCTCTTTTTTTTTCATCTAGTCTACTTAAAAGAATGAAGAGAAATCTTATTTTTAATTAAATTTTTATTTTATGTATATGAGTGTTTTGCTTGTAAGTGCACTCATGTCGTATGATGCCCAAAGAGGCCAGAAGAGAGCATCAAATCCCCTAGAACTGGGGTTATAGTTGTTAGCCATCATATGGATGCTGGAAACCAAACCCTGGTTCTCTGCAAAAGCAGCCAGTGCTCTTAACCTCTGAACTGTCTCTCCAGCGTCCCTCTCCCTTTTCAAATCAGACAGTAGGGCTGGGAGATGACTCAGAAAGGATCATAGTTTGGATCCCCAGAACCCATGTAAATTCTAGGTGGGTGTGGTGGTCTGCCTGTAATTCCAGCACTCCAAAGGCAGAGTCAAGGGCTCTCAGGAACAAGCTGGCTAGCGAGCTTAGCCATATCAGAGAGCTCTGGGTTCAGCTGAGAGACCCTTCCTCAATATGTGAGGTGTAAAATGACTGAGGAAGATACCTGATGTCTACCAAATGCATATAAGAAAAACAGTAAAAGGAAACAGTAGAGTAAGGAGCATCACATCTTCAGCCCTTAATGCTGCTTCCCAAGTGCTGGGATTAAAGACGTATGCCACCACACCTGTTTCCATTTCCAGTTTACTGGTGATTCTGGGCTTGATTCATGGTTCGAGAGTGAACCTGTACATGTTTTGTAATGTTTAGTTTAAATTCTGTTTTAAGTATTGATGATCTTCGCATAGGGACTGGGAGACAGTTTATAAGTTCTTAGTAGCAGATACAGTAAGATGAATAGTCATTGTGTATCTGATCACCTCTCAGATATATTTGCTTTTATTATAACCTGTTTGTGTTGTCAGGATGCTTCTGTTTCAAGTTATGGAAAGTCAACACAAATGTCGTAAACAAAAGAGCAAACATTTTACTGGATTCTGTAAAAAACCAGGAGCAAGGCTCAGTAGATGACTCAGTTGCTAAAGTGCTTACTGTGTAAGCATGAGGATCTGAGTTCAGATCCCCAGCACCCGTGTGAAATGCTGCCTGAAGCAGTGTGTACCTGTAATGCCAGCTCTGGGAAGACAGAGGCAGGAGGGTCCCTGGGGCTTGATGGTCAGTTATTTTAGCTGAATTGGTGAGTTCCAGTTTCAGTGAGAAATCCTGCCTCAAAACATAAGGTGGAGAGCAATTGAGGAAGACAGCTGACATCACCTCTAACCTCTACACGCGCGCATACACACACACACACACACACACACACACACACACACACAACATGGGGTACTGTGTCATTTCAATACACACACACACACACACACACACACGTGTCCAGGAGTAGATGGACCTTCAGTACCAACCCCATTCTGGTGCTCTAGCCCTTACAGAATTAGGCAGAAGCCAGTGTCATCTCAGGCCAGTCCTCTGCAATGTGGCTCCCAGTAGCTTTTAGCTGACACTGCAACTAAAGAATCCTAGCTGCTAGGAAGACCTGTGATGCCTTTTGTTAACCCCACATAGACCATGAGTCCATCATAGAACCAACCTGTGTTCTGCAGGGGCTGTGGCGTGTGTTTACCAGACTGAATCCTCTGGCCTTGCCAGTAGCTGGGGTCCTGTGACCTCCTTTTCAGATTAAAAAAAGCAGGACAAAGATAGGGTTCCAGGCAGACAAAATACAGCTTCGGTGTTTTTTGTTTTTGTTTTTTTTAAAAATATAATTGCCTTTTAAAAGTAATGGGTAACTTGCTTCTGGGACTTTCTCCTCCAAACAGCAGAGTAAGATGCTGTATTAAAGGCCTTTTGCAGGTGGGAATAGTTGCAGACCCTTGTGTTTTTGTCTGCTGTAGTTATTATTGTCAGAAAACTTTCTCAAAGAATTGAGAGGTGGAAAGAAAAAAAAGAATTGAGATATGACCCTTCGGACAGTATGTCATGGATTTGTAGGCCAAATCTACAGATAACTTCCTTTTCCAAGAAAACTCTGAAGTATAATTGAACTATTGTGTTAATGGATTGGACTGTTATGGAGCAAAGATATAAAAGCATATCCTGGGATTGACTTAGGGCCAACTGTATCTTTGTAATAACAATCCATTTCTGAAGTACAGTGTTTAACTGCTTCCTTCCATGGCTCAGTATAACTAAATTACTAACATTGTTTTTGTGCTTGTCACTATAAAATTAAACATATGAAATAAAATACACTCTCTTAGAACTGGAGAGATGGCTCGGTGAATTAAGTGCTTGTCGCATAAACATGGGGACCAGAGTTCAAATCCCCAGAAACCATGTAAAATCCAGGCAGACATGGCTGTGACCCATAATCCCAGCAGACACGGGATCCCTGAGTCTAGCTAGCTAGCTAGACCAGCCTGAATTGGAATCTGCAGGCTCTGGGTTCAGCCAGAGACTGCATTTCAATAAATAAGGTGGAAAGTGATCAATAAAGGCAGCCGATAACAGTTTTGGACCTCCATATGTGCATACACGTGAATGCACACAAACTCTCTCTCTCTCTCTCTCTCTCTCTCTCTCTCTCTCTCTCTCTCTGGAAACTAAGTTCTCTAAGTATGCAAAATACTGGAAATAGCAGTTAGAGTCTAACTCTAAGCTCAGTGCTCCTTTCACATGTTAATAAGGAGTGGTGAGAGCAGCTTCCCTCTGAGTGGGTAATAGGCCAGAGACCACTGATGCTTTCCCCTTCAGGGAAACTGCCTCTAGACATGGAACAGAGATTGGTGCTTCACTGGTTCCATCATGTAACCTTTTTCCTCGTCTGATTTCTCTGCATTTGGGTGCATCTCAGCAGTCACCACCTGCAAATGCATGATGTCTGCTTGTTGTCCACAACTAGCCACAGGTATCATTTTGAAAATCCAGCTTTCTGGGGCTGGAGAGATGGCTCAGTGGTTAAGAATACTGGTTGTTCTTGCAGAAGACCCAGGTTCAAATCCCAGCACCCACATGGCAGCTAACTGTCCATAACTCCATTCCTAGGGGCTCCAACAGCCTCTTCTGACCTCCGCGGGCATTGCATGACACGGGTGCACTTCCTACATGCGGGCAATACACATAAAATTAAAATAAAAAAAAAAAGAAAAGAAAATCCAGCTTTCTGGTTTTACCTCAAAATCGGAATATTTGGCAGCATATCTCTCTCTCTCTCTCTCTCTCTCTCTCTCTCTCTCTCTCTCTCTCCTCTCCCCCTCCCCCTCCCCCTCTCCCTCCCTTTTTTTGAGACAGGGTCTCACATAACCCAGCCTGGCCTCAAACTTTCTATGTCACTGAGGGTGATCTTGAACTTCGTCATCCTCCTGCCTCTACCTTCCAAGTGCTGGGATTGCAGATGTGCATCCTCACACCTGGGTTTATACAGTACTGGGGATCAAACCCAGGGCTTTGTGCATGCTAGGCAGGCACTCTACCAACTGAACTGCATCCCCAGCCCCAGTACCTGTTCTCATTTCTGCCGAGACCTTTCATTGGGGGACTTGGGCTCACCAGTTCCTCATGTTGGATTACTTGCCTGGCTTCTTGGAGTGGTTCAAGAAACTCAGTTTATTTCAGACTAATTTTTAGGTACACATGTAATCACCACAAATGTTGAGTGATTTTTCTTTTTTGGTACTAGTTCTCTCCATCATGACTAAGTGTCTTAAAAGACCAGACAATTTTTGCTCCTTGCCCTCCTAGGTCAACTAGTTCCAGGGGACTATGAGCATCTCTCAAAATGTCCTGTAATTGTGGTGGGTCACCTGTCCTCTTGATCAATGAGGCCGAGGAGACCCCACCAGATGGATTTGAACCAGTATCCAGTCTACAAATAGGAGGGCCAACACAGAGGAATCATTTCCTCCATGCTTCCAAGCAAAGCCA